CCTGGGCTAGTCTCTCCAACTGTTCCCAGGTGTATCCTGTCCTGGGCTAGTCTCTCCAACTGTTCCCAGGTGTATCCTGTCCTGGGCTAGTCTCTCCAACTGTCCCCAGGTGTATCCTGTCCTGGGCTAGTCTCTCCAACTGTTCCCAGGTGTATCCTGTCCTGGGCTAGTCTCTCCAACTGTTCCCAGGTGTATCCTGTCCTGGGCTAGTCTCTCCAACTGTCCCCAGGTGTATCCTGTCCTGGGCTAGTCTCTCCAACTGTTCCCAGGTGTATCCTGTCCTGGGCTAGTCTCTCCAACTGTTCCCAGGTGTATCCTGTCCTGGGCTAGTCTCTCCAACTGTCCCCAGGTGTATCCTGTCCTGGGCTAGTCTCTCCAACTGTTCCCAGGTGTATCCTGTCCTGGGCTAGTTAACAGTGGCGTAGTAGACCTTACCGGGTGACAACATTCAGGGAGGTGACACCAAGGCTAATAAACCGGGAGTGATCTTCTCTAAACTTTCTCGAATATTCATATATAAATATACGGGGATGGCAACTCGGGATATAGACAATATTTTAAATCCATTTTTAATTACTTTAACTTTTTATAATAGAATAGAATCTCGTAGAAAAAAGAATTGTACACCAAGTGAACGCCAACCAAATGTACATAATAGTACGGGATATTATTAGTACTTTATAAATTCACACACACACACACACACACACACACCAACACATATATATATATATATATATATCGAGTTGCCATCCCCGTAGTGTTATATAAGTGTTATATATGGTTTATTTTGTTGATAACAACTAACGACATTCCATCTAGGAAGATTATTCAACATACAGTAGAACAATACACGTACCCTGATCGATTATAGTAATGAAAAAGGTATAACAGGTATATACATAAAAATAAAAGATAAAAATATTTCTTATCTAAGTGCGACAACCCCAATAAAACAATAAAGAAAATTACTAAATTACTCTCTCGGTAGGTTCCCTTTATTTTTCTTTTTAATTCTATTTTATGATACTTTATACTTAATTTTATGATTCCTTGGTCAAGATAATCTTATAAGATATATATATATATATATATATATATATATATATATATATATATATATATATATATATATATATATATATATAGCCTATGCAGAGGCGTATCCAGGTTTTCGTTGTAGGGGGAGCGAAAAGAGAAAAAAAAGGCGCCAAACGTGTATATATATATATATATATATATATATATATATATATATATATATATATATATATATATATATATATATATATATATATATATACAATTACTAGCTGTTTGTCATTACTTCGCGATGATGTAAAATAAATTGAAAGTAGCGCTCTGAAGAAATACGAAAAAACACACAATGTAGGCCGACAAAACAAAAAATTGTATCAATCTAAACAATATATATATATATATATATATATATATATATATATATATATATATATATATATATATATATATACACACTACAACCAAAAAAAAAATGAACGTAACACAATCTGTTTTGTAATTCTTGTAAAAAAAAAAATTCTTATATAATAACTCCTGGGCAATTATTTAAAACAAGTGAAGTAGGGGAAATAATCACTCTCTTAATATAAATATGTATATATCTACACATTTAATTATAAATGTCAAAACAAATAAATAATTACTTGAGATTATAAAGAAATTGTTTAACACTATTCGTGTTGACACATTTATTTTGTCTATAATCAGAATTTAATATATCGTCTTCTTAAATGCTAAAAAAATACACACTTTTCGATATAATAGAAAAACATTCGGAATAACAGCATACGTTTCACTCAATATCGGTCTTTTTAGTTCAGATCATATTATTTTAATTACTGCTTCTTTGTGTTCTTTAATGATCATTTTTTAACATAGTGATATGTATGGGTTAGATCACTGTATTGATCACACACCTTTTTACTGGTAATTGCAAAAACAATATTCACAGAGTTTTATGTTTAAAAAGCTAATTTTCTGGCGGCATGGTACTTTGGTACATCATTACCCGTTTTTCTACATGTACTTAACAGATCAGTTCGGGGTGGGTTGGGGGGGGGGGGGGAAAGGGGGAAGGGCTCAACTTGGGATCCGGACAAAAAGCCGACATGGACAAAAGGACGACACGGACAAAAGGCCGACATGGACAAAAGGCCGACAAGACAAAAGGCCGACAGCCAAAAATGGCTGTCGGCCTTTTGGATGTCGACCTTTTGTCCTACACCCGTTCAAAATCATTCACCACTGTCCGTTCACTTTAGTTCAATTATCCAACCCGGTGTATACCTAGGTGTGACATTGATGTCGCTCTACACAATTGTGGTGGTGAGGGGGGGGGGGGGGAGATTACCAACTCAGAGTGAACATAGCGTCAGTTTTTAGATGACTGTTCTAAACATACATATATATTACACAAATATATATTACACAAATATATATTACAGAAATAGATTTAAATAAGTAGCAGTGGTATTATGACAATATTTTTTTACAGAGGTGTCCATGGGGGAGGGGGGTTGTAACTGTTTCATATAATTTGAAATCGTAATCACTATCGCCCAAACTGTAAGAATACTACTACTTCATCGTGATGACGTCAAAATTTCCCCACCACTACGCAGTTTGCTCATAAGTAAATTTAAATAGAGGTGCCACATCAGTTGTATTTGTTTCTGTATTGTAATTTTTTTTTAATTTATCCCACGATTCAAACTGTATATATAAAGTAATCGTGTGTGAAGTTTTATGTATAACATTTTCTAATTAAATTATTCGTAAGCAAATACATTATACAGTTGCCTTAAACTTAACACCCCTCTTGCCAAGTGGTACTACCGTAGAGGTTTTTTAAACAATGCATCGTAATGGTTATTTTTAGAATGGCAAACCGATGCAGCTGTTAATACGTGTTGTAAACGTAGACACTACTAAACTAGTACAATAATGCTTAATTGCTGCATGAAAAGAAATCTTGTGATTTACATAGATGTGCCGACCAAAAATTTTTTAAACAAATATCATTGTTAAAAACTTTGAGTTTAAAACGTTTCCAAAAAGGCGCCACTTTGCTGAAAATGGCCAGAGTGGGAGCGGCCGCTCCCCCTGCTCCCCCCCCCCCTGCGTACGCTACTGAGCCTATGGCTACATTAGTCCAATGGAATGTATGTTAAGTTATGCAACTCAAAAAATAAACTTTTACTTTTAGGTGATAAGTTGCCTCCCTTATTATATCGGTATGCTATTGTATTAAGTGATGGCAGCTTATCAATGTTTATTTATTTGTAGACATATACTCAAGTTAGTGCCAATAAGTTAAGTAGTAGAAATTAAAGTTAAAATGCATTGAGCGAGTGCGAAGTAAATTTAAAATTATAAAAAGTAAAATTAATATTAACTAATAAATACAATTCAGTGTCTACGGGAAATGAAGTAGAGTCTTTGGGTTTAAATTTACTCCCTCTAGTCTTATAGTGTCATGTAGCACTTATCAATTTGAATGGGTTTTAGCTGGAGAAAAAAAAAGACTTTTAGTTAGTAAAGTAACGTTTTCTATTACTTTACATAAGTAGTCAAAAACTGGAAATATATATTTTTTTTCCACCAAAAAGAATAGCCACACAAAAAAACTTCTTTGATTTTATAATTAATTGGGCTTATTTAAATTGAGATGAATTGTCTAAAATGTGTATCGCCGTAGAATTTAAGTTTTTTGAGGATTAGGCATCCAGGTAGTTACATAACATCTGACCTTTAAAACAGAACACAATCGTCGCATTAGAGGTATGCAACAGATGATTTCTGATTGGATAATGTTGGTCCACACAGACTGATGTTATATTTAGTACTGTGAGTCATAAACACAAGTAATAACAATAAAAATGAATATGCCTTTAGAATATATTTATTGAAAAAAATGCAAAGCTTCAAAAGATAACAAAAGTAGTATATCAGGTCACATTTGAGTCGCATTTGAGGAGGAGGGGCAGGTGGAAATGACAATGACATAATATAGTAAAATACTCCAGGAGCATGAAGTGGCGGTGGGGGAAGATGTGCCGCGACCCACAACGCCCTTGACCTCTGCGATACGGACATATCGTGTCATGTTTTCGCCCTTCTGGGTGTTGATAAGGACTTGTCATGTTGCGTTCCATTCAACACCAGGAACCTATCGTAGTTATACATATACCAGTTCGGGTTTCTTTCAGGTATTCCTTGAGGGGGTAGAGTACGTCTACCACCCTTCCTTTCCCGGGTGAAATAGGGAAAAATATATATAGAAATTATACAAGTTAGCCAGCGTCCGCCATTTTTTTTACATTGGCCATTATTTTTATTTATTTTTCTTAAATTATTTCATTTATTTTTAAAATTCTGTAATTAACTAAAACTAAACCAAGGGAAGATAAGACGACAGGAAATACATTGATCGGGCCGTTGTTATCATCCTTTCCAAGATAAGAAATTCAACTGTTGACAAACTTTCTTTGACGTAGTGATGACATTCTACACCTTTTTGGTTCTTGCCTATCTATAGGATGGCACTTCTGTGAGGGACGGGAGGGGGTGGGGTGGTTCAGCATATTTGTTGTAGTTGTTGTGGATTACAAAGCTCTACATACAAATGAATTTAAATTAGTCTTCCATGACAACCATTTTTGCTGGCACACAATACTTGGTTATTTAACTCAAATGTTTGCTTAAAAACTTTAAAGAAACAGATATCACAATATTTGTGCACTTATACTTGTAATAAGTTATTATTTTTTACCTTTCATAGGTCTGTAATGAATTAGTCACTTTTGACTATGACTTGTTGTCCAGGAGTTGACACTCCACACCTTTTTTGAGACACATACACACACACACAACTGAAACTTATATAAAATCACAACAAAAGTCTTCTTAAATTTTATTAATTTATTTAAAGTTTTTTTTCATTTCTCTTTGAGCCTAAGATTAATTAAAGCTGTTTCAGAGTTTTTCAATCAAAGTGTTCAAGCATTTTTTAATAAGGATATGGTATTTCAAGTACTTCTTTTTAGATTATTCTTTATAGGTAAACAATAAAGTTTAATTTATCTCTCTAATAAATAATGTTTAATTCTTATGATTTTAATAGATCTAAATTGCTTTCACTTTTTATTATATTTTGTTAATTGTATACAATTATCTTATGCCAGACAGTAAGATTTATTTTACCAATAGCCTACTGATTCATTTTTTTTACCCCATTTTCCACTCATGAAAATTATTTATCAACAGAGAGTTTTTACTTTTTGGTGTGTGACTAACTACAAACACTGAAATTGATTATTTGTTTTAAATATTTTTAATATGATTAAATTTTAGATAGAGTGTTTAATCAGATCGATCAATTATTAACAAATATTGTCATTTTAACACACTTCGTAACCAACTAATTTATGTGGGGTATAACGTGTATTGAGTATAGATAGATGTATACGTGTTTAATATTTGATGCCTGGAACACAGGACAAAAATAGATTTGCACCCCAAAACATCCGACATAAGGGTGGTGATGGCTACTGGGAGGGCGGAAAAGAAGAAAAAACGCCAAAAAATATTTAACGCTACAAATGTTTGGCTTTATTCAACGGCTTAAGAGTAGAAATGTGCTATAATTTTATGTATGTCTTAATTGTAGCAGTCACCATAACAAATGATTACAATTTATGATTTTTGTGCAAGAAATGCTTCCTATGTGATTGCAAAAAGTCCTGCCAAAGACCATTTAATTAATGTTTTTAAATGATGGCCAATCTCTCTGACTTTCAGTTCGTGAATGAAATTCAACCAGACCTTGCTGTAGAAGATAAAAAATAATATATTTATACGTGTGAGCTAGTAACAGCTAAAGAAACATAAAAAGAGAGACTCAAATTCTTAATTTCCTTATCTTGAAGATGGGTAATCAGTATGCTTTAAAGTCATGGGGAGAGAGGGGATGAAAGAGGATAGAGATAAAATAAAGCTGTAGCATACATGACAATTATCCTAAACGCAATATGTATTCAAATGAATTTTCCAGTTCCCATATCTAAACACAGACACTAGATCTTCTACCTTATGATCTGCCAAAATAACTCATGCATATAATATTTTTATACCAGTACTACACTGAAGTGGCTTCTTCTTCATTTTTAATTGTAATGTTGGAAGGGATTCCCTCCAACTCAAATAAGTATTACGTGTCAACTTGTTCTGCGCTATATAGGCCGCTGACTCCAATTTCAGTCTGCTTTTCTTTTAAAACTTTGCTTCCATAGCCTTTGTTCAACCAAGAATAAACTATAAGGCAGCAGTTGTTTGATTATGGAGTTGTCTCTCCTAGATGAGTTGCTGTCCCCAGCTAACTGAAGTAGAAAACATAGTTAGGGGGGCTGTGATCATTTAATAAAGTACACCACATAAATGCGACACAGAAACACTTCAACACACAGGCCTCGACATTCTCACAGTATGTCCCTCCCTGTCCACACCCTACATTCACGAACTAAAAACCAATACTACGCACAAGGAAATAGGCCTTAATACAACCATAACTAACATTCACGACATAAAACAAAGTGGAGCCACACACAAAAAAACAAAGTTTGCATAAATAACATCAAAATATAAACAACACAAAGCAACTATAAACCATTTTAAAATCATAATCATATCAGCGCCAGAATAACGGACTACTTAGCTAAAAACCACAACAATCTACAAAAGGAACACAAAAAGCGACATTCACCTTTTTGTAATAAAATAATAATCAAATAACTCTCCAGCCCCTTACACTTATTTTCTCTTAGGTTCTGTATATTTGTTAAATAAATATTTCAGGAAAATTCTTATGTGTACCTTATTTCATGTTCCACCTTCACAAGGTGTGTTTTGTTTACTGTGGCACTTCTTGTGACAGGCAAATTTACATTCTGTAGAACAAATCATTCATACAAATGAAATTTTTGTTAAATACAAAATAAACAACTACAAACATTAAATGAATCCAATCAATAGAACAACTATAATGACTGGCAACACTGTTAAAATTTCTATTTCTAGAAACGTTTTTGAGGCTCTCTGGCTAATTGTACATTGTACAAGTCTTCTCAGAGTGGTAGGTTAAATTCTAAGATGGAAGGAGAGAAAATGCATCTATTAAAGAAGTCATCTAGAAATCTGTTAAGTAAAGCCAGCATATGTCTGAAAACAATGGGGAAGGTAATCTATCCAGGGTATATTTCTAGAATTGAGTCATTGAAATTGTAATTAACTTTCTTAAAACAAAACCCCAATCATAATGGTTCTAAAATAATTTAAAACAAAATTTCTGTGTAACAAAAGAATTTGACAATTAACATGGTTCTAAACGACACAAAAAGTGGATTTTCCAGTAAAAAAGGGACAGTAGAGAGTCTTACTTTGACACACATAACCTCTATCCATAATCCAAATGATAGAGGTGCACACCTCACAAAAGGTGACAATATTAAACTGCACCTGTTGGTACCTGTGGCCGTTGAATTCCTGCAGGTGAAAAACATCATGCTGTATTAATAACAAAATCTTCATTTATCTATGTAATTAACCTCACCGCAGCTACCATTTGTTTTTTATCTATGTATAAAAAGAAGCCATATTAATGAATGCCCTGTGAGCATTGTCGTTTGTATTGCAGCTAAACAATTTTCTACTTGTCAAATCTCTTCTCTTTGTATGGTTCCACAGCCATTTAGTTAATTCAACTTCCCATTTAAGGGACATTTTAAAAATTACTTAAGTGAACAGAACAACAAATACTCTGATCTTTAACCTAATTTGTAGCATGATTTCACTTACTAGCAATTCCTCATTCTTTTTATGTTTTTCTCTTTTTAACATTTTTACCTGGTTGCAACTCCCATCTTTTTTACTGTCCTTCTGCCTGGATACTTCCAACTTTCTAAACTCATCCAGAAAACCTCGGAATGCATTAACAGACATAACCAGGGGCGCGTCCGTCATCTCTTGCTTCATTTCAACTGTCAGGAGATTCCTGAACTGCTCAAACAGGTCTCTGTACCTTACTTGAACTTTGGCCCTCTAAAAACAGGTTACATAATAAATATTTATTTCAACTAACAAAAAAACATATTAATAAACTGCAAAAAAGGAAAGCAGATTCACTTAAATAAATACATACATAAATGTATAAATTATCTTCATTATGACTTACACCAGCTTCAACAGCAATCTGTGATTTCAATTCTTTGCGGAACTTTTCTAAAGCCTTTTTGAATATTTTATCAAAGATAGTGTATCTGCGATTAGCTGAGTCTCCGTACAGTTCTGTGTGCTGTTTAACAAGCCAAAGTTTACACTTCTTAGGATACAAGTTAATTCATTTATTAAAATTAATTTATAAACAATTTTAAGTATTATTTTTAGGAATACATATTTATTATTATTCAAAGAGTAATTTTAAAATTCGTATTAATTAATTTTAAACATAAATTATTTTTCAGCATATTAGTGTATTATTTTTTTACTGCAAATCAACTCATTTTAGGTATAGTTGTTTTGTTTGGTCTATTTTAATAAAGACTAATTATTTATTAGTTGGAAGAATAATTCTCTTTTAAAATTATCAATTTATATGAATTTAAAAACTTTTAATTTGATATTCGATACTGCAACTAGGAGAGGATTTAGAAAGTCAATTATCAACTGTATGGCCTACTTTTATTACGTGCAAGTAGATCAATATGTCTATCAACATAAACTGAATTTAACTATGATGTTACCTTTTGACCAATGAACACATCCAGGTGGCGCAGCTCCTCAAATTCTGTAATGACCATGGTATCTGCGTACTGCCATTCGGTGGCCCGGACTACATTCATGTTGCTGCTGGTCTGCGGCCTGGCCGGGGAGGAGCTCCTGGCACGGGTAACATCCCCCTCTTTGCTTTGTGATGATGGGGAGGCCGGCACCAAAGCAGCTCCGTAATGAGCGGTTAGGACATTTATGACTTCTGTAATGTAAATGAATGTAACCTCTAAAATTATAGATATGGCGTCTGTTTGCAAAGTCAAAGTAATTTTATTTTAACATGAACAGGTTAGTCTACTGAGTATAAATCAATTAAGTTTTATCATTGGTCAATTTCTGCACATAAATAGTCTAAAATTGGCTAACTTGGCTTACTTTTTTCGATTGTAGACCGCGACACTAAAGAATAACTACTTTCTTCAGATTCTTCTTCACTATCATATTTTGTTGGCTTTTTGGTACCTGAAAACAAATTAGTTAATAAAACTGAATTAATTGTTTTTTCAGAATATGCATACAACTGTTAATTAACTAATATTCTCAGATAAAATGAAATAACAATTTCAATTTTTATCCCCATTTCTATGCTAGAAACAAAATTACAATCATTAATGTAATTTTAAAAATTGTTTTGAAATTCTTTAAAAGCTTGGTCATTACAAATTTAAATATCTGAAAAAAAAACCTTCTATTGAGTGAAATGAATAATGGACTGCCTATACTAAAAGAAACCAACGCACTAAATCTATCATCCGGTGGTTTTAGGCAAATTTTTCCCTTCCCACCTCCACCTCCGCCAGAAATGCGATTTAAATGTGACCTGATATACTACTCAACAAAGAAACATTTGTAATAGAAAAATGAAATAGGGAAAATACAAATACAGGCAAAAAATAGACAGTTGTGACAGATAATAAAGTGGGAGGATATTGCAAACGGTCATTAATTATGGGAGCAAACTTAGTACAAAGAAATGTCTTTATACAGATACTAAACAGTTTGTATTTATTATCTAAACTGTTGACGTAACAACATTTTCAATGACTGACTTCTAGTAGAGATGGAAATTGAAGCAGTTTTCGAAATAATTTGCTTGGTGCGCAATTATTTTTTCTATGAGATTCTGTTCTATTTTTAAAAAGTTTTAGTATTTAAAGTTGATTAAAAATAATAACTATATCCCGAGTTCCCATCCCCTGTTGTTTTATATAAGAATATTCGAGAAAGTTTAGGGGAGATCACTCTGTTAACATAAGCTCCAGCACTTCCAGGACATGTAGCTGTTGTGTACCAGTACCTGGTGTACATACTATCCCTCTTATGTTTTTGTGTCCATTGTCCAACTGAGACATGTTTAGCGCAGCCATGAGGATGCGATACTAAAACAACTAATTTGTCGACATCAGAATATAGCCTGTACGGCTGCTTTACTTCATGACAGAGATGTAGGAAACGTGAATACCTCTTAGACAGCTTGTCAATTAATTTTAAGTCACATGTCACATATTTAGATCGCACCAGTCTCCCTCCAGATGTGCTTGACACGCCTCTCGGCCATCAAGACTGACCACTGGACTTGTAATGTCATCAAAACCTAAAACACAGCTGGTCTGTCTCGCCTCACTGGCATCAAACACCAGGTGCATGGCTGTCAATACACAAACCGCCCCCCACACTTTGCTGGGATTGGAAGAGTCTTGACACTTGGCACAACGACAAGTGCTGTCACTCGCTGTGTACTTGTACACATGGCATACTATCCCCGTCCCTAACCTTATCATGTGACTTCCTCTGTCATTATAACATGGATATGGAACTTGAGTGCCTGGGTAAAACTCTGGTCTATCTAGACTGGTGAATTTAGTCTTTACCTGGACAGTTAGGGCTGCCAATGTTTAGATTGTCTTGAACATAAGCTCATTGTTATGGTAACGTGAAGGGATACAACCTGTGTTGAAATCTTTTAGAGGTATAAAACCTTTGTGATCTGGGTTCTTCTTACAGCTAATAATGTATTTATATAATTTGTATATTGTCAGCCGTCCATTTAAACCTAATTCTTGATTGTCTGCTACACTGATATTTACGTTGGAAACCACCGTTGCATTTCCCACTTCGCTTGCAATTTTGGTATTTATTTCGGGTTGGTTATTTATTTCAGTTTGTACTATAGCTACTGACATTTCTTTAAATGATGTTTCTTGAAAAGCGTTTATCCTAAAATTTGAATAGATATTGTAATTATAAATGTTTGTGTTGCAGAATATTTTAAATATTTCTTACCTTTTAAAACTGTTTTAATTGCTTCTGATATAAATATAAATGTTCATATTTTCTAATGTTTGTAAAAGTTAAGTGTTTTTTTTTTCGAATTTAAAGAATGTGATTTTTTTTACTTACTCATATACGAAATATAGTGGAAATATTGTAATCGTGCTAAATACTGAAATGGAGATTTTAATAAATCTGTACGTTTTACGCTTATCTGAGTCGGCACAACACCCAGTTTTTCAATCTTTTCTGTACGAGTATCTGTCATTATGTGTTTGTCTGTGTGTATGTGTGAACCTAGTCAATGTATAATTATTGTAATAAAGAAAAAATATTTTACATACCAAGAATGTTAACCAATGTATTGTACTGTTTCTTTATCATCGAAGCATTTTCTTTTTCTTCTGTAAATTGCTTTTGAAATTCCTCTGAAAATATGATTTCATGTTAAATTACAGTTTAGACAACCCAAACTATCCCCTATCGAGTACCATTGAGGTCATCTACGATCAAATCGATGAATTTCAATTTAGATTGTAAACACAAAATGAAAGTAATAAGTGCTTTTTAAGGTTCGGGAAATAATATATTTTAACAGGATTTAATAGTAAAAATATGTTTAATGATTCCCATATCAGTTTGCATGAAATTTGTTCTTACCACACTTGACTTTTAGTCTTGCTACTTTAAACTCACACGTACAGTGTAAGTCATTCATATTCAGTTCTGTAAAGTATTGTTACTTTTAGAACATGTAACAGTATTTTGTTTTTATACTTTTTAATTATCCATTTAAATTGTAATAGTAAAATTTTTTTATAAATCATACCTGTTTTGAAAAAAATTAAACACAACTAATTGTTAGAGTAAATTAATACAATTTTTCCCCTTAAGTATTTTAGAAGCTTCAACCGACACAAGTATGTTCATTAATCAAATAAAAGGCAGTTAATATTATATTTCAAATATTTTACTTTATTTTTTAGCAATTGAATATGACTCCTGATCTTATTAGATAAGCATTTTAAAATGTGTAATTCAGCATCTATACATTAATATTTACTCAAACGCTGTGCACCCTGTTCATCAGTCTCTTCCTGCGAATAAAATTCAAAATATCAAAATTGGAACTAAGGTATGAACTTTTACTTTAAAAACACTCAAATGAAATAGTGATGAGCTAAAATCATGTTATTTATGTATTATATAAATTAAACTTTTTTATCAATTGGTTAAAATTATGTATTATTGAGTCATTATTGAAAATTATTTCCTTTCTTAAAATATCTATAATATATGATTGTTTGATAATGTATAAAGTATCCCACCAATTACCTCTTCTCTTGTGAAGTTGTTGGAAAAATCAGCTGAAATTTTAAAGAAAACACGATAAATATATGTATATATACATGTACATATATATATAAACGTATGTTTATATATATATATATATATATATATATATATATATATATATATATATATATATATATATATATATATAAATCGAGTTTACTTTTATTTTCTACATCAAGGTTAGGGTAGTGATTAGGCTGAATGTTTGGTACGTTGGTTTGTTTCTTCGGTGTTTGTTTAGTTTTGTGCCTTGTGATTTTTTTTTACTTTCTCGTATATACGAAGTATAGAGAAAGTCTTGTAATCGTGCAAAAAAAAAAAAATCAAGATTTTTTTCAAATCTCGACGGAAAAACATAGTTTTACAACCTTGTCTGTATGTCTCTGTGTGTGTGTATGTGTGTGTTTGTGTATGTCTGTAAACGCGATAACTTGAGTACCGTTACAGCTAGGTTGATGAAATTTCATTATTAAGTATTATATCAAAACATAGTTTTGTGGCATTTCCGAAAACCGGAAGTGGAACTTTTGCTACTTTAAATTTTTCAAAAGCCAATAACTTGAGTAATATTTCAGACGGATAAATTAAATTTCTTATGTAAGTAAAAGATCTAATTCTTTGCCTACTATTAAATTTTGAGTAATTTCTGTTGACCGGAAGTAGTAATTTTTGCTATTTCCGATTTCTCAAAAAACGCATGTGAATTTATAAAGTACTAATACTATACGGCGCCATTATGCACATTTTATTTGGCGTTTACTTGTTGTGCAATTATTTTTTCTACGAGATTTTATTCGATTTTTAAAAGCTTCAGTATTTACAATGGATTAAAAATCATGTCTATATCCCGAGTTGCCATCTCCTGTTGTTTTATATAAGAATATCCGAGAAAGTTATAATATATATATATATATATATATATATATATATATATATATATATATATATATATATATATATATATATATATATATATATATATATATATCGATGGTCTCGGTCGCAAACCGTCTAACTCTGAAAATGTAAATTTTACAGGAGAGACAAAAAACTGATTATTTCCTTCTCGATCGCTCTAATACCAATTTTTAAAAAGATATCTCCGAAGAAACTCTCTACCGACTATATTGTAGCGTTTTAAAATGGATTTTGTTGATATTTACAAAAATATAGCAGGTTTAAAAAGATAGACGGTTAGCTCGGTCTAAAATTCTCGGTGCAAACCGTCTATCTGTGCGCGCGCAGACTTAGCTGTTTTGAACCGAGAATTTCGGTCTCAGCCGCGTTCGTTCGTTTTGTCCAATGAACGCCTTATGTTTATTTTTTTTAAGTTATAATTAACACTTCATAATATTTAGATTATAGTTTTGGGCTCATATTTTAATTATTTGAGTTTATTCTACATTATGGGGTCAGTTTAATTTTTAGTAGAGATGTTTTAGTATGGCTTCATCGCTTTCGACTGTATTCATTATGTCTGTATTTAGCACTAGACTTGTTAACTGTTGAAGGGTATGCTTTATTTATTACATCTTTCTATTCTCACAGTTTATTTTACTAAACCTGGTGGGTGCTGGGTTTGTAGAATTATAATAGTAAAAACAGAAACCGTATTGTCATATATATTATGAATGAGACATAACACACTAATCACATTAATACTTACTTAATGTTTACTTATTTTACAAAAATGTAACACAAAAAAAAAGTGTTTATTTTTAAAATTTATTCTTTGAATAAACTTCACATAAAGAAAAATTAAAATGGCAACATATTTTAAAAATCAGGAAATCATAAAAAGGTGTGTTTATTGTAATAGATTGGAAACACTGACGAGAAGCCGCGTTGGTTGTTAACAAGTCTTTATTTCAGCCATGATGGGAAGAGAGAGAGCGGAAGTCACGAGACACAAAAATATAAGGGACATCACTCAAGATAACAGTATAAATATAATACTAATACAAGAAGAGTGAGTTCCCTTGACTTCACAATTCTCACTATATTACATCCCTTTACCCTTAGTAAACACAACACATCTCTCAATAGAACAATTTACAGTATCCTAAAATCACCAAATATATTGTAACATGAACATTATGGTAGATTACATCCTTACAAACAATGCACAATATGTTACAACATAATTAAAATACAAAACAATGATGTCAAAGTCCTTTTGACCTTTAAAATCATAGGTCTAACTTATTTGGGACTTTGATTGTCCTGCTTGACCTTCTCAGTGGCTTTTGATTTGGTGACTCAAGATTCTGACCATATGGATTCTCTATCTCAGGAGGTCTAGGATCTAAGTCATTAATTCCAGAATTTACATTTTCTGTCTCTAGACTACTTGGTTCACTCATATCAACAGAACTTGGTTGTGGAACAAACTGAGTTGGTGTGAACTGATCAGATTTGGTGGGATTGATAGATTCACACTTATTATCTGCACAAGTTATTTTTAACTGGTCTGCATGTCTACGGACAATAAGTCCATCATTTGTTTTTACTTTATAAGACACAGGTCCTGTACATTGAACAATTTGACCTGGTATCCATTTTTCCTTTCTCCCATAATTTCTCAGATACACATTATCATTAACACCAAATTCTCTTTCAATGAATGTTTTGTCATGATTTAATGGAACTATTTTTGAATTGGCATCTGAAAGTATTATGCTGTTATTCAGATCCTTAACTGACATAGATTTCTTTGATTGATCAATTTTCTCAGGTAATCTGATAGTGCTTGTTGGTAACCAAAAATACTGTTTAAAAGTACTATCCTGGACCATATCAATTTGCAACTGTGATCCAGTATTTGAAGTGGGTGTATTAAATGGCAAAAATCTTTTTTTTTTTCTTTTGATGTTACCCTTTTAGTTTCTGTAAGTGCTAATGATGTTAGCAAAGTTGTTTGATGATCACATTCCTTCTTACTAATGTATTCTCTTTAAAAGCATTTGAAATTGCCATATCACCATAATCATTTATTAAGTTACAAATACTTTGTTTAGGCAACTCTGACTGATAATGGACTGCATCTTCTCCATCTTTTAGACTTAACTCCATTTTTCTTATTGTATATGGCCTTCAGTCATCATTCACAGACTCTTCAGGCCAACCATTCTTACAGTACTCATATACTTTTATTAAGCACTCATCTTTTTGTGTTTCTCTTTTAATATCATTCACATTTATATTGGAGTTATCCATGATAGTGAAGAGAACAAATACATCTTCTGGTACATAGCTAAGGCTTTGGTTTTTTTAAAGGTAATCGACTAAAACTATCTGCACTATTCTCAGATCCAGGTTTGTATTTCAATTCATAATTGTATGCAGTTAGTGTGATAGCCCATCTTTGAATTCTTGGTGAAGCATGCTCAGGTAGGGGTTTGTTTTCTCCAAATAAACCTAGCAATGGTTTATGATCTGTAAAGATGGTGAACTTCCTACCAAACAGAAACTTATGACATTTCTTAACACCAAAAATGATGCCTAAGCCTTCCCTATCTAACTGAGAATAATTTTTCTCAGCCTGGTTCAAAGATCTACTGGCAAAAGCAATGGGTCTGTCACCCTTTTCATCTATGTGGGACAAGACTGCTCCTACACCATCTGGTGAAGCATCACATGTTAATATAAGTCTTTTCCCTGGGTCATAGTGAGTTAGAAGGGTGTCAGAAGACAAAGCTTCTTTTGCTGCATTAAAAGCAGCATCTTGTTGTTTACCCCAGTGCCAAGTTGCATTTTTCTGAAGCAGCTTGTACAGTGGTGATAGTTTACCAGACAGATTTCCTATGAACTTCGCATAGTAATTTATCAAGCCCAAAAAAGCTCTTAGTTGTTGGGTATTTTCAGGTTTGGGTGCTTCTTTAATGGCTTTTGTTTTCTCAGGTTGAGGTCTGAGACCTTGCTTGCTTAATATATAACCAAGAAAACTAATTTCTGTCAGCATGAATTGACATTTATCTTTGTTTATCTTTAAACCTTTTTCACCAACTATTTTCAAGACTTTATCAAGTGTATTAAGATGTTCAGTGTCATTCTTACCAGTTATGTACACATTGTCAAAGTAAACATAAACATTTGGAATATCCTTAAAAATACTGTCCATGACAGCCTGGAAAATTCCAGGGCTGGATGATATACCAAAACATAGTCTTTCATATTGGTAGAGTAATTTATGTGTGTTTATTGTCGTATAGAATTTTGAATCTGGATGCAGTTCTAGTTGAGTGTAAGCATGACTAATGTCTAATTCAGTGAATTTGTCTCCTCCTGCCAAATTCAAAGAAATTTCCTCAATGTTAGGAATAGGGTACCTATTTAGCTCTATTTGCTTATTCAGTGTGGCTTTATAGTCTCCACAAATTCTTACAGAACCATCCTTCTTTAACACTGGCACAATGGGCGTTGCCCAATCGGAATAGTCTACCTTCTTTATGATGCCATTGGATTCCAATCTACTTAGCTCATTTTCAATTTTATTCCTCATTGCATAAGGTGGAACTCTAGCTTTGCAGTATCTTGGATTTGTGTCTTTAATGCTTATCTTCACTGTTCTATCATTTAGTAATCCTGAATTACCAAAAACACCTTTATTTTCACATATAACTTTATCTATTGAAGTAAGACTAGATTCTCTTGCATTGTTCACTGAAAATATACTCTCCCAATTTAACTTAAGATCAACTAACCAGTTCCTACCTAGTAATGGTGGTCCATTTCCTTCAACCACAAGAAGAGGAAGTTTAACACTTTGACCATTATAGCTTACATGAACCATACACTCTCCTATCACCGGAACATTGTCACCAGTGTATGTTGTTAGACACTTGTGACATGGTTGTAGAGGCACTGATCCTCCAGTGACAGCGTCAAAGTCCTTCTTTGTGATGACAGTTAGAGATGCTCCAGTGTCAAGTTGGAAGCTGATGCTCTTACCGTTGATATTAACTAGTACATTGATGGGAGCATGACTTATTGATTTCACAGAGAACAGGTTGAAATCCGGCTGCGAATCAGTTTGAGTATTTTCACAGGTAGAGTGGTTCATTGGTTGGAATAGGTAGTCTTGGTGAGAGTTAACATAGTACTGCCTTTGGTTGCGGTACTGTCTTGACTGGCTAGATTTAGCAACAGACGAAGACTTTGCAAAGCAGGCCTTGGCAATGTGACCTTGCTTACTGCACTTATAACAAGTTGCTAACTTGAACTTGCATCGATGAGATGCATGGGGACCTTTGCATCGATGACATTTTTGATAATTATTACTAGATTTAGATCTAGGATTTGAACGTGCAGGCTGTTTAGCATAAGTTGAAATGCTCTGATGGAGTTGGTGTTTGTTGACTAACCTGCTATTTACTGCATGGATCTCTGAAGGTGCTAGAGATCTCGCCGCATCGGATGACTGCTGGTATGAAGTTGCAAGTTGTATTGCTTTTTTCAATGTTAGATCTGACTCGAGCAGCAACTTTCTTTGAACATCAGGGCTGTTTACACCTGTCACAAACTTTTCACATAGTCTGTCAGACAGCGTGTCTCCGAATTCACAAAATCTACTTAGATGACGTAAAGCAGCAACATATTCTGATATTGACTCGTTTGGTTGACGAGTCCTACCGTCAAATCTAGCTCTACACAGAAACTTTGATGGTACAGGCGCATGGTAGTCTGTTAGCAGTTTGCTCAGCTCGTTAAAGCTCTTGGTAGTTAGACTAGCTGGTGCGCATAAGTCCCTTAATAGCCTAAATTGTTGAGGCCCTATGACTGTTAACAAAACAGCTCTCTTTTTGGCTTCTATCGTCACGTCGTTAGCTTCAAGGTAAAAGCTTAACCTATCTAGATAATCATGAATGGTTTCATCATTCGAATCAAATTCTTTTATTTGGCCATACAGCGCCATTATTCTAGAAATACTTAGCCAATATGCTCTAGCAAGCTCCTTTTTAAGTAAGCATATGCTCTTTCTAGTGGACTATTTATCCTCGTCGCCAGATGTAATAGATTGGAAACACTGACGAGAAGCCGCGTTGGTTGTTAACTAGTCTTTATTTCAGCCATGATGGGAAGAGAGAGAGCGGAAGTCACGAGACACAAAAATATAAGGGACATCACTCAAGATAACAGTATAAATATAATACTAATACAAGAAGAGTGAGTTCCCTTGACTTCACAATTCTCACTATATTACATTTATGACTTGCTTTTAGGTGCTCAAATATGACAGCTTTTATCTTTTTTTTCTGCTCTTGTACAACTTGACAGGGGCTACAGATGAGATCATAATCTTACGACCCTAGCTTAGCAATTGCCAGCTTTCTGCTAATTCACTTTGAAGTAGATAGTAGCATCAAGCTTGTACTGCAGTGCACGAATAACTGTCGCTTTGAATTCTTGATAGGTCTGACTGGTCTTTTGAGGTCGGCTGGTCTCTTGTATGGTAAGGCTGGTCTTTTTGAGAGAGGTTGGTGTCTAATGTCTGTTATGTGAGGCTGGTCTATTGTATGTTATGACTGATCTGTTGAGAAAGGCTGGTGTCTTGTATGGTAAGACAGGTGTGTTGAGAGAGGCTTGTCTATTGTAGGATAAGACTAATCTTTTGAGAGAGGCTGGTAAGAATGGTCTGTTGAGAGAGGCTGGTATCTTGGAGGGTAAGATTGGTCAGTTGAGAGAGATTGGTCTTTTGTATATTAAGACTGGTCTGCTGAGAGAGACTGGTCTGTTGAGAGATGCTGGTGCCTTTACGATTTGTCAGTTGACAGATGCTGATGTCTTGTATGATAAGAATGGTCTGTTGAGAGAGACTGATATGTTGAGAGGCTGGTCTGTTGAGAGAGGCTGATCTGTTGAAAGAGGCTGGTCTGTTGAGAGAGGCTGGTATGATGAGAGAGGCTGGTCTGTTGAGAGAGGCTGGTCTGTTGAGAGAGACTGATATGTAGAGAGAGGCTAGTCTTTTGAGAGAGGCTAATCTGTTGAGAGAGGCTGTTCTGTTGAGAGAGGCTGATCTGTTAAGAGAGGCTGGTCTGTTGAGAGAGGCTGGTCTGTTGAGAGAGGCTGGTATGTTGAGAGAGGCTGGTATGTTGAGAGAAGCTGGTATGTTGAGAGAGGCTGGTCTGTTAAGAGAGGCTGATCTGTTGAGAGAAGCTGGTCTGTTGAGAGAGGCTGATCTGTTGAGAGAGGCTAGTCTGTTGAGTGAGGCTGGTATGTTGAGAGAGGCTGATCTGTTGAGAGAGGCTGATCTGTTAAGAGAGGCTGGTCAGTTGAGAGAGGCTGGTCTGTTATGTGGTAAGACTGGTCTGTTGTGAGAGGCTGGTATGTTGAGAGAGGCTGGTATGTTGAGAGGGGCTGGTATGTTGAGAGAGGCTGGTGTGTTGAGATAGGCTTGTCTGTTGAAAAATTAATCATAAAAGCATTTACTAAAGACAACTAACCATGTCGTTGAACATGTACGCCAAACATTTTGTAACCTACCATATAAACATTTCTTAACACGTATCTAAACCCTCAATCTAAAGCTAGTAGTGAATTAACAATTATTAAATTTATTGTACATTCTTGTGGAAATATAATTCGAAATCTTGAAATAGGCTATATTAAACAAATACTATTTGTTTATTATTCTTTAAAATGATAAAATATAATAGAATAGTTGAACATAATTAATCAAATATCCTTACCTATAAGTACTGTGACTGCTGTGCTGTAAGATTGTGTGATTGCGACGCGCAACTGCGTTCCCGATCACAAGTGTACTGACAAATATAGCGATATTCGTTTTGCGCCGAGATTTTTAGCGCTAAAAATAATAGGCGGTTTTTTTCAAATGATTATATCTCAATAATCATTCTACAGATTTCTCTAATATTTTCAGGCATTATGGGGAATCATATTGGCTTTTGATTTATGTAAAAAAAAGAAAATCGAATTTTTTTGAGTTTGACGGTTTGCGACCGAGACCATCGATATATATATATATATATATATATATATATATATATATATATATATATATATATATATATATATATATATATAGTGATAAGATTAGGACCTTCCATGTCAGGGCCTGTATATATATATATATATATATATATATATATATATATATATATATATATCTCGCTATCACATAAACTCGTATGTCGGGGCACTTATATATCCAGGCTACTGTCATTTAAAATATTCTACTCGCAAAACTTTTGTTTTTTCGAATATTTTTTCTATTTCAATTTTTATTAAGTTTTGCATACAATACAATTACTATTATACATCTCATAATTTATTTTAAAAATTGGTTAGAGTTTTTAAACATTGTATAAACATAAAACATGATTGTTAGATGGATCTTTAGAGTGGTTTCTATTGTTTTGCTATCGAAAGTTATAAATACTACGCTTGAAATTGTTTAGATATGTAGTAAAGATTTGTATAGCAATCACTATTACCTTTAATGTTTTCCATTTCATCAGCCACATGTGAAAGTTTAACCTGAGGATCCCTAAAGACTTGAATCGTACAGGGGTACCAGTCAGCATATGACAACAGTCTTTCAAACAAATACTTTGCAGCAGAAATATCTCCTTCATATTGGTTTTTAGCCTTGATTCGACACTTTAAAGCAGAAATTATATTATTATGTTTTATATAAATTTAAAAACTGCCAAATTTTTTAATTCGAAAATTTTACTTACTAAATCAAAAATTTCAACTTACTTTATCTTCCTCTGTAAGAACGTTAGAGTTGTATTTATGAAATAAATCAATGACGTTATAGGGCTTCACAAATCTTTCAAAATACTCCAAAAATTTCTGCTTTGTTAACTTTAAGAAAACGTCATCATTGGTGACGTCGTCCATTTTCTGGTGTTGTATTAATTAAACATTAATCGTTCATAACATTTTTGACTGTATTTCGTATTATATGGTATAATTTTATTTTGCAATTTGATTAGAACATCTTTGACTGTTTAATTTAAAAGTTTTATCAAGGAATAAGTACATCTCTATTCATTTATTCAAATAAATGTGACAAGCGTCTCCATGCCTATTCCTATTTTAATGTATATCTTATTTGCTCTTTTTAAAAAAAAATCAACTTTTAATTTAAATAAGGTTAGTAATAGACACTTTACAATCTTTGCTTAAATAACTTTTTTCCTATGCATTTAATTTTTTTTTCGTACAAATTTTCTGTTTATTTTTATCTTAATCTTTGTCTACATTCCAAGACACAACTACAATTATCTACATAATATACATTTATTTTTAAGAGTCTAACATTCTTAATAAAATTTTAAATATATTGTTGAAAATAATATTAATAATAATAATTTTATAAATTCATCGAACATTTTACTGCACACTATGATTCATGAAACACATTTTGATAAAACACAACAACGGGTTGCAAAAATAAAATTTCAGCAAACGTATAAATGTATAGAAATAAGTCTAAAACTTATTCAAGAATCATATTACATTATAAACACAGTGTGTAAAAGGTTATAAAGTAAAAATGAGCATATTGTTTATTTCAATGAGCACATGCGATCTTTCTCATTATAGTAATAAAAATACTTAACTTTATCCAGTTCTACGATATTACCAGTCCTCTGTACACAGACCGTTTGTCCCGTAGCATTTTTATTGATTTAGTTTAAAGGATATTAGGTTCCTTTAATTATAATTTGCAATGTTTTTTAAATTATTTCAAGAATTCGTAAAAGGCTCATCAAGTTTAAAACCAGATAAGGATCTGTTCTGGCATTTGTGATAATATGCGACAAAGGAGAGAGAGTGTGTGTGTATTTAAACTAATTTTTTCGTCAGTTATTTTACTTATGTACTATTTGTTGTGTAAATATGTTGTAATAAAGTTTTAAATTTTAAAAAAAAATGAAATTAATTTATATTCTTATTTTCTAAAATTAAATAAAATCCGGACAGTGTACACGATAATGACGATAACAAATAACATCGGAAATACCCGAAAAATAAAAACTCTAATTTAACTATCTTTAGAATTTATTATTACAAAGTGTATCTTAAATATACGTTGAAATGTATTTATACAATGTTTCATAACTGATATTCTAAATATGAGTCTTTTTGTATTATTATATTATTCAACCAAAAGTTTCAGCGACTAAACACGTAACAGTTGACGCCATCTTTCTTTTTTGTTTAACTAGCAAAAACTAAGTTCTGTCTGCCTTTCTGATGCTTTTTATTTGTAAATTGTTAAAAAACTTTAACCTGCAAACAGTGTTCTGTATCAGATCTAAGTTAAAAAAAAAATATTCACAAAAATATATTTTCTTTTCTATTACCTTAATGGACTGGTGAACTCCACCACAAAGTTGCACCGAATGGCTTATGGGATATGTGAAATTCCTAAAGATACTATAAATAGTAAAATGAAATACCAATTATTAGAAATTCTATCATATGCCCAATACAATTAGTTTAATTGTTTTTAAGTAAACACACACACACACACACATATATATATATATATATATATATATATATATATATATATATATATATATATATATATATATATATATATATATATATATATATATATATATATATTTATATATATTTATATTTATATATATACATATATAGGCGACGTGAGGGTGACACCATTTAGGGGATTGACACCAAGACAAAAAATACCAATATATATGCCGAAAATGAGAATTACACTTAATTAAGTGATTAATTAGAGTGTGTTAAATAGTCTTTTAAGAGCAAAGTTGACAAATCCCGACATTAACATGAAAGAAAAATAAATTACCTTTCATTTAAAATTTTAAATCGACATCTTGATTTAAAAAATGCTTTGAAAAACATATCATTCTTGAATTTCTTAAAATATAACAAAATTTAAAAAAGGTCTATCTAACGCCAAATAAAATGGCAATACTGAGTATCAAATGTGTGTGTGTATGTATACACACACACACACACACATATATATATATATATATATATATATATATATATATATATATATATATATATATATATATATATATATATATATATATGTGTGTGTGTGTGTGTGTGTATATAAAATATCTTACTTGTGCTTTACAGTTGAAAACAACCGAGAACTTATTTTTCTTAAAGTACCTGTATGAATTACTTCTGTACTTTTGTGTTGATAGCGGCATTCCATCTATGAAGATAATTAACATACAGTATAACAATACATGGAACCTTTCCAATTACAGTATTGAAAACTGTATAATATGTAAATACATAAAAATAAAAGATAAAATATATTTCTTATCTAAGTGCGACAACCTCAGAAAAACAATAAAGATAATTACTGACTCGGTAGCTTCCCTTTATATTTTGTCATACTTTATGATACCTAAATACTGAATTTGATGATGCATTTGGCAAGATAGTCTCATTGGGTGTATATATATATATATATATATATATATATATATATATATATATATATATAAACTAGATACTCTTGTTAAATTTAAAATGCATTGGACGTGTGCGAAGTAAATTTAATTTAATATTATATAAAGTAAAATTAATATCGAACAATAAATACAATTCAATGTCTACGGAATATTAAGTACAATCTATGTGCTTGATTTTTTCCTAGTCTTATAATATATCATGTAGCTCTAATCAATTTGAATGGGTTTTACCTTGAGAAAAACGACTATGAGTTAACAAGGTAACGTTTTGTATTAATTTAAATAAGTATTCAAAAACTGGAAATATATATATTCCCCCCCCCCCCCTCACCCTCTAAAAAATAGCCATAAAAATCTTTTTAGATTTCATAATTAATTGACATTGATTTAAAGTAAGATGCATTTTCTAAATGTGTAGCCTAATGGTTTAGAATTTACGACTTGTGAGGATCAGGCGTCAAGGTAGTTACAAAAATTCTACCCTTAAAACACAACATAATCGTTGATTTAGAATTTTGCAACAGATGAGTTTTGATTTGATAGTGTAGGTCTACATTGAGTGATGCTATATTTAGAGTCATAAATAAACAAAAGTAATAACAATAAAATGTGCCTTTAGAATATGTTTATTGATTATAAAATAGATACAAAGCTTCAAAAGATACAAACATTATCTATATATATAATTCTCTTCTGGGATCAGTTAGAAAACAAGCTGCAAGCGCCTCCTTGCAGTCCCCTCTCTTTCTCTCTATCACTATCACTACCACCCCCCACCCCACCCCAACATTGTCTGGTGAGCGGTGTTCACTCTAAATTTTTACAAAGCTAAATGTTTACAAATCGTAGAGCCGTACAGCCGGGTTTCTATTATGGGCAGATAATTTAGTTCGATTTTAAACTTACAGGAGGTAACTAAGAAATAACTAAGAGGAGGCTGCTTTCACGGGGGGGGGGGGTGTAGTATCGGGGTTAGGGGAAAGGGGGGGGGGTTAGTGTTTTAAAGCAAATATTTTCAGTGGCAGCATTGGTACTGTCGAATTTACAAATTATGAATTACTGAAAAGTAGAAAATAAAACAACTAAATAGCGGCGTATGATACGCTGCGGGTCGGCTCGGTTGTAATAATACAACTAAATAGTGAAAATAAATAAACATTTGAATTGTCAGTATGTATTTAATTGTGTACAGGAAAAAAATGGACCGTTGTCACAGATAGGCGATAAATGAGGAGGATATTACAAATGTCCATTAAATATGGGAGTAAATGTAGTACAAAGAAATATCTGTATATAGATACATTTATAACAGTTTGTGTTTATTATCTCAGCTGTTTTCATTAAGGCCACATATATTAGAAATATTACTATAAAAATGTTATTGTTAATTTTTTCTAATCTTCATAAAATATAATGATACATTTAATAATCATAACAATGTTATTTTCACAACCTACAAATTCCCATATTCAAAATAATTTATTCTTAGTCTAGCTATTGTTACAATCAACTTTCGTATACACAAATAAATGATATGCACGGTTTAATATCCTATAATATATTTATTGATGTAACTGTTAAATATTATCATAGTAAATACTAAAGATTAAATGTGTACTATTTATTCTGTTATACATTAAACATTCATGTTTGTAATTTGCATTAAATAAGAAATAAACAAAAATCCGAGTAACGTTAAAAAAATAAATCTGAACAGTACAAGCCTGTCACTACACATTTAGTTTAGGAAATACAACTTTTAAAGTCAACGTGTATGTATTTTATTTTATACAATTTTTACAGCCAAAGCAGTTTAACTTGTCTTGGCTTAGTGGTTCTTCTTTGTTCTTAGTTTTAGTGTCTGAAGGGGTCCCCTCGAACACAATTAAGTATACGTGTCAACTAGTTATGCGCCATTGAGGCCATTGACTCCGATTTCAGCCTGCTTTTCTTTTTTGGATTTTTTCCATAGCCTTTGTCCAACCAAGAACAAACTACAAGGCAGCAGTTGTTTGATTTTAGAGTTGTCTTTCCTAGAAGAGTGGCTGTTCCCAGCTAACGAATTTCATCTGCCCGAGGGTTCGAACTCGAGACTTTTCGTTTAGCAACCATGAGCTTTACCGAATCGTTCACGCCGACCCCTTGATTAGTGGTTAACTCCCCCTTATCCTTCTCAGAAAAGTTATGTTTTTTTAATTTTAACAGCAGTATACCTTTGTATATGTGAATTATTATTTTTTTAAGAAACAAGACACAATGGTCTAAACAATGTGTGATATTTGAATTAGAAATTAGAAATTTGAAATATTTTATTACATATTTGAAATTCAAATAAATACTGCCGCAGATAAAAGACAGAAAAAAAATAAGTATTAGATTGTGTTGATATACAAAGCTCTGTTGTTAAGATTGAGATTTGTACTTGTACATCTATTTTAAAATAATTTTCGTGAAGTGAGCACTCATGTAAAACCATGTCTAACAAACATATCTATACAACGATTTGTTAAAAAAAATCATAGCTCTCCCCACTGTAATTGCCCTTAGAGTTAGATCCACTGTGTACGAGGCCTCTAATGCGTGGGTTAGAGCCTGGCATGTACACATAAGCTCCAGCACTTCCAGGACATGTACATGTTGTGTACCAGTACCTGGTGTACGTGTTGAAGATGTCATCCCTCTCATGTTTGTGTGTCCATTGTCCAACTGAGACTTGTTTAGGAAGGCCATGAGGATGTGACACTATAACTGTCAACTTGTCGACATCAACAAATCTCCTGTATTTGTTCCTTACTTCCACACAAAGATCAACAAAGCGTTGACACATCTTGTCCAGTTCATCAATCAACTCTAAGTCACATGTCACATATCTCAACACACACGTGTCTCCCTCAATGTTTGCCCCACCCATCACCTTCCATTCATCAAGACTGACCACTGGACTTTTATTGTCATCAAAACCTAAAACACAACTGGTCTGTCTCGCCTCACTGTCATCAAACACCACGTGTGTGGCTGTAAACACATAAACCTTCCCCCACACTTTGCTGGGTGTGGCAGAGACTTGACACTTGGCACAACGACAAGTTCCGTCGCCGTCACTCTCTGTGTACTTGTCCACACGCCACACCCTCCCTGTCCCTAACCTCATCACGTGACTTCCTCTGTCGTTATACCAGGGATATGGAACTTCAGTTTCTGGGTAAAACTCTGGTCTCTCTAGACTGGTGAATTTAGTCTTTACCTGGACAGTTAGGGCTGCCAATGCTTTGATTGTCTTACACATGAGGTCGTCGTCATGGTAACTTGAGGGGAGACAACTTGCGTTGAAATCTTTAAGAGGTATAAAACCTTTGTGGCCTGGATTCTTCTTACAGCCAGTAACATGTTTGTGTAGATCAGCTTCTCCTCCATAACTCATCTCAGCTTCATAATTTCCTTACAATATATATATATATATATATAAATATATATATATATATATATATATATTTATATATATATATATATATAAATGTCTCTGCTTTTATAATATCTGCATAACCCAACCCAAACATACAAATATGTTAACTCAATATTAGCCTACTGTGATACAATATCAGGAAAATATTAGATATGCTTAAGATGCATACACATCTGTCTAGTAAAGAGTTTCGTTCGTGAATAAAAACTCACCTGGTGTGAATACACCAGAGGCCGTCCTTTTCCCTCGAAATCTAATTTGGCTGTCATCTGAAATTGTTTTTATTTAAAATTTACTCGTGACGAATCAATATACACAGTAACCTTAAAATACGTTTATATAATATTTAAAAAACAAATTGGTATAAACTTTCAAAAAAAAATTGTACATAACAAATATTCTATTCTATTTCATTCCATTTCATTCCATTCCGTTCCATTCTGTATATATATATATATATCTTTATAT